AACAACCTAAAAATCTAAAAAAATGTAAAGTCACTCATCAAAATATGGTTGAGACTTTTGCTAGACTATCATATATTTCTTTATATTTGTGAAGTCAATTTAATAACATGGAAAATATAATAGTAAAAATATCATCCCAGAATATATTATTGTATATGCTAAAAAACCTTTATAAGATAAAATTATTACCAATATCAAATAGTAATATCTAACAGATAATAGAACAACTGCCATAAACTAATGAATATGCCTCAAGAAGAAAAAATAATTTATAGTGTAATTTTTAGTTCAGTCAAAAGAAAAGACATCTGCTGGCAGCTAGTGATGGATAGAAAATGAAACTCATTGTTAAGCTGCCTAACAGAGAAAAATGTAGGCTGAGAACAGAGATCAGAAATGTGTTTGACTTTGAGAAGGGATCCACAATGATGATTCCTTTTCTCCCCTTGTTTTTGTGGTTTTTTTCATGTATTTTCCAAATTTTCTCTGAGAGAGCCTTACTTTTATTCTTAAAGTTTCTAAAAAATTAAAAAGAATTCTGTAACGTAGTTGTTGTTATGTGCTATTGAGTCAGAACCAAATGATAGCTGGACCTCTAGTGAATTTTCAGAGGCTTTGAATTGTGCAGGAGATTGTTTTTATTCTCCCTTGGAATAGCTGGTGTGTTTGAAACTTATGCCTTTGGGTTGGTAGTGTAACTCTTTAGTAGGTTGCCACAGTTCTGTTACTAAGTACAATATATAATAATTTTTTGAAAAAAAAATCACAATGCTAACTAGAAATCGCTTGTCATTTCTTGTCTCTGGTAACCAAAGAGAGAAAAAAAATAATAGGAAAATAAAAATAAACTTTCTGTTGTTATTAAAAGCACAGGGAAAGTCTTAATCTGGAACTAAATTAGATGGATTAATAGATGGGGCAAAAAGTTCTGAATTAGTTCTGCCTTCAAATGAAAATTGCAGTCTAGAGAGGTGATATTGGAAATATTAAAGAAACTGTTCAATGTTGAAAGGGGTTTATAATGAGCAACCGCCCAAGGCCAAGCAGGAAAATTTAGGTTCTCTATGTGTGCTTGCTGCAGAAGGTCAAGAACTGCAGCCTTCAATATGGATTGAAGCACAACATCAAGAAAACAAAGATTCTCACCCCTGGGCCAATTGGTAGCATCATGATAGATGGTGAAGAGATTGAGATTGTTAACAGCTTTAGTTTGCTTGGCTCCACAATCAACATTCTTGATACCAGCAGCCAGGAAATCAAATAATTAATTGCATTGAGAAAGTCTGCTGTCAGAGCCCTCTCCAAAGCATTGAAGAGCAATGATGTCAGTCCGGAGACTAAAGTGCACCTGATCCAGGTCATAGTCTTTGCAATTGCCTGTTATGTGTCAGAAAGCTGGACAATGACTAGGGGTAATAGAGAATTAATGCTTTTGAGCTGCGGTGCTGAAGAAGAGCTTTGAATATACCATGGACTGCCAGGAGAAAAAAACAGGTTCATCTTGGAGTTAGACCAGGTTGCTCCTTGGCAGCAAGAGTTCAGAGGCTTAATCTGACACACTTTGGGCATGTTGCAAGGAGAGACTAGTCCTTGGAGAGGGACATCATGTTTGGAAGGGTCAAGGGACAGTACAAGAGAGGAAGACCCTCAATGAGATGGATTGATTCAGAGACTGGGGTAATGAAGGTAGGTGTGTCAGAGACAACAAGTTTAGCACAGGATAGAGCAGGTTTCAGGGCTATTGTACATAGGGCACATAACAACAACAACAACAATGTGTGTAGAGAGAAAGAGACTCCCTATCAGCCTTTGTTCAAAGTGCTCTCCAAGTCCTCAGCAGGACTTCCACAGCAAAATGCCACACCAGAGTCATCCTGCACAAGTGAAGTTTTCTCTGCAGCAACTTAGGCTTCACAACTGAGAAGCTCCCAAGAAAGTGAAGGTCTTCTTGTGTGGTTTCTGTTATTGTTGTTATGTGCTATCAAGTAACATGCGACTCATAGAGACCCTATGTAAAACAGCCTTAAGCCCTGCTCTATTCTGTGCCAATCTCGCTGTCTCTGACCCACCTACCCCAATTATCCCGGTCACTGAATCAATACACCTCATAGAGTGTCTTCCTCTCCTGCGCTGTCCCTTCACCCTCCCAAGCATGACGTCCTTCTCCAAGTACTGGTTCCTCCTTGCAACATGCCCAAAGTATGTCAGACAAAGCTTCAGAATGTTTGCCTCCAAGGAGCAGCCTGGTTTAACCTTCTCTCTAGAATGAACCTGTTCGTTTTCTTAGCAGTCCATTGTATATTCAATACTCTTCTCCAATACCACAGCTCAAAGGCATCGATTGTCCTTGTGTCAACCCTAGTCATTATCCAGCTCTCTGACGCATAGCAAGTGATTGCAAAAACCATCGCCTATATGAGGTGCACCTTAGTCTCCAGAGTGACACCGTTGCTCTTCAGTGCTCTGGAGAGGTCTCTAACAGCAGACTTTCCAATCTCAGTAGAGAGAACTAGAGTGGCTAAATAGTGACGCGTTGTGCTGCCAACACAAAGGCAGACTGTTTAAAACCCCCATCTACTCTGTAGGAGTAAAAGAGGCAATCCACAAAAGGCTTAGGTATGAGTTGGTTCCAACTTGAGAGCAATAAGTTTGAACTTCTTTACAATAAACATAACTTTTCCATAGACAAAGAAAACAACAACAAATCTTCTAACTCACTTTATTGGAGTTGTTTAGACCTATCTCGCAGTTATGCCTGTGTTGGTAGAATGGTCTCTAAGGGCTCACAATCGCTACTACTTACTTTTTCAGTGTTTTTAATATCTTTTTCAGTGTTGATCTTCAGAAAAGAGAAATAAACAGCTTTGGAAATGAAAAAGAAACTGAAGGTCTTTTCCTCTGTTATCATAAATAAATGAAGGTAACAACCATCTTGATATTTTGTTCTCTTTAAGTCAGTAATAGTTGTTTTTTTATATTTTTTTATTAATTTTAATGAAAATTTACAGAGACTTTGGATGCAATTTTCTCCCTGCCCCTCCCCCCCCAGTACACTCTTCTCTTTGAAAAGTAAAAGTTCCCCCATTGTTTGACAATCCCTCTCCCCAGGTCCACTCCACTATGCATCCGTTGTTCTGGACTCCTGACATGATAATAATACCTAATCACATATCCCTTTTAAACCGTTTTCTCCCTCATCTGTTTCAATGCAGTATACATTATTGATCTCATCTTTCTCAGTCTCTCCCCAAACCGATTTCAGTCCTATTTTATAACGGTGGCACTATGCAGTATTTGTTCCTTTGAGACAGATATTTCACTCAGCATAATGGCCTCCAGCATCACCCATTTTGAATAATATTGCATGAGTTCTTTGTTTTTCAATGCAGCATAGTATTCCATTGTGTGAATATATACCACAGCTTCTCTATCCATTCGTTTGTTGAAGGGTACTTAGGTTGTTTCCAACTCCTTGCTATTGTGAACAAAGCCCCAATAAACATGAGTGTGCATATATCTGCTTGGGTGACAGTTATGGTCTCTATGGGGTATATTCCCAGTAGTGGAATTGCTGGGTCAAATGGTATTTCTATTTGCAACTTTTTGAGAAAGCGCCACACCGCCTTCCACAGTGGTTGCACCATTTTACACTTCCACCAACAGTGAATAAGGGTTCCTGTTTCTCCACAACCTCGCCAGCATTGGTTGCTTGCTGTTCTGTTGAATTTTGCTATTCTGACTAGGGTGAGATGATATCTCATAGTTGTTTTGATTTGCATCTCTCTTAGAGCTAGGGATTGTCAACATTTCTTCATGTGTTTGCCATCTGACTGTCTTCTTTGGTCAAGTGTCTGTTCATATCCTGTGCCAATTTTTCAATTCGATTGTTTACCTTTATCTTGTTGTGGTGAAGTCAGTAATAGATTTGAATGGCAACAATATTTTCCAAAGATGTTATTTTGGTACATTAAGGGATAGATGAAAGCAAAAAGTATCTCTGACTCCAAATCTATGTTGTTTCATGTGTTCATAGCAGCATTATTCTTCACGCAAGAACATGGAAACAGCTCAAATGTCCAACCACAAACGCGTGGATTGGGAAATTATGGTACATTCACACAATGGAACACTATGTAGCACACAGGAGCTATGATTTTGTAAATTATTACCCAACTTGGGAGGGACTGGAGAGAATTATGTTGAGTGAACTAACTCAGTCCAACAAGGATAAACATTATATAAAACCATTACTGTAGAATGAGTATAAAGATCCAAGAAGGGTGGGAGAGGGTGGAAGCAGAGGCATGAGGATGTGCAGGGGGAGAGGGGATTAATCATGGAGTTTTTCAATTTGGTGGGTGGGGGTGAGAGAAATTTAAAAAAAAATTTGTTCTTGAAAATAATGTGTTTGAATTTTGTAAATAAACTAGTAGAAAATTTTAAACAAATGTTACTGAAACAATGTGCATGCAAACACACACACACACACACACACACACACACACACACACACACACACACAGAGAGAGAGAGAGAGAGAGAGTTTGTTCTCCCTGACTAGTTAATGTGAGAAGAAAACACCTGTCTGCTTCAGGCCTGCAAATTGGTTTTAATACAGGGTCACAGAGAATTCAAAGGTTTACGGCCACCTATAAAACAGCTCTTTGTCTTTCCCTACTAATTCCCTGGTGTCACATTTAACAAAACAAGGAAACTAGAGATAGTAGAGGTGTTTGCAGATTAGCCTTCCAAGCCATAAATAACACTGGGCTTTGCTCACCTACAAATATTAAGGCAGCTTATCTATGTTTAAGCCCTTTCCTCTTTGTGATGGTTGCTAACATTTTAACCCAGGCAAATTAAGAATTTTTCTTTCCTGTCTTTAGGCATTGACTGAGTACACATAGGTAAGATTCTATTATCAGATTTTGTGGTATAAAGAGTGGGCCATCACCTAAACACCCAACCTGTCTGTGGCCTGTGAGTTCCTGTTTTGAAAGATGTGTCTACCTTTGGTTCTCTTCCTTTTGCTTTCTCTTAGTGAGGGCTTCAGTCCTAACTGCCCAGGAAGATGTAGCTGTGAGTCCCTGCAGCTGGTGCAATGCTACAGACTAACTGAGGTGCCCACCAGTATTCCTGCCACAACTAAGAGGCTTTTCATCAGCCACAGCAAAATCAAACACCTCCAGGTAACTACGCCATTTCACTCAAGTCACCGCAGTTTTATTTTGTGAGGGGAAAACATGGGATTTTTAAACTCGATTTAAATAATCACAACTATGATTTACATAATCACAACTTAAATACTCACACTGGCTCTCAGCTCTATACTGAGTATGTTCTTTTGCAACCCTTTATTTTAGGACAGAAAAGCAAGTCTGAATCTGTGACAAAATTTTGTTTTCGTTTTTGTTTAAAAACTTGAAAAATGACACTTAAAGTAAAAACTTAAAAATGGCTCTTAAAAACAGTGTGATAGTGTGTTGTCATTTTATGTCAGTAGAATTTGGCATCAATTCTTTTACAAGGAAAAAGTGGGTTTGTATTTTGAAGATGGTATTTTAAATAACATAAAGTTATGAATATTAACCCAGCATAACAGTACAATTTCTAAAAACCTTAAACAGCATCCAGATATCAGTGTCTTTGTGGAAAAATGCAGTTATCTCAGTTCTCATTTTAGTGTGCTTTAATTATAAGTTTTATTTTATACTTGTCTAGTCAAAGGATTCTGCAAAGAGTCTGCGGATTTGCCTAACTTTTATAACATGAAGGAATTTTTAATTTTGGTCTTTGATATTTTGAAGGTTCTCAAAGAGTCTAGGGTTCTCAGACTAGTTTTCTTATTAACCAGAGATGTGCCCATCATAGTCAAAGGACTGAAAGTCAGAGCCTTGTTTTATTTATTTTTTAACCTGTTTGAAGTAACCGAGAGGCTGGATTTGAAAGGCAGTCCCAGGCCTGCTCTTAATTATCCCATTACTAGTTTCTGCCTCTGCCTTTTCTAGTTTCAAATCCTAAAATATGCCTCTCTGAGATCCAGGTGGAGAGAGGTTGTAGGTCAATCTCTAAATGGAGGTATCTACCTCCCACATGTAGTTAAGAAATCTTAATGAATCATATTGATACAGATGGTTTCAAATGTGTGGCATGGTATTTGAGACTTTAACAAGGACGTCTGCTTGGTCGCCTCCTATTCACTTTCTTTTTCTAATCCAGTAATGCCCAAAGCTGGAGCAAGTCTGATTCTGATTGATCTAAGCGTTCATATACATCTTGGTAAAGAGCAAATTGGTTAAATACTTGCTTAAGGACTCAAGATGCCTGACGAGCTCAACTAAGTCTAGTGGGTTGCTTTTTAGTCAATAAAATTATGTACTCATCAAATTCAATTATTGAGTGAGTCCATTTGTTATTGTTTTAGGGTTATTAACAGTAATATTGCTGCTCCTTTAACAGAGTCAATTGTCTCTTAAGACAGTTAACAGAAGTAGGATTGTCTCAGTAGGGAAATGAAAAATTTGTATAACAATGTACTTTTCTTTTAAAACCCTTAGTTGCTTGCTTAGTTTTTTGGGTTTTTTCCCTCACTTTATTTTACTTGTATTAGTGAATACAAGAATACATATTCATTGATAGAATGTATATTCTGTGCGTTTAGGTTGAACTCTAAAATCATGTGCTTACGTCTTAAAAGGAAATAAAACCCAACTGTGAAGTGGCTTTTAAAATTAATAGAAAAAAAAGCAGGTGTGTGTGTGTGTGTGTGTGTGTGTGTGTGTGCACGCGTGTGCGCATGTGAAAATGGCTTATTATTTATGCATATAATTCAGCTCTGTTTAGGACTGTGAATGTTATGTTTAAGTTAGATATTAAAGAGGAAAAATTCAGTCTCTTCTCTCAAGCAAAGAGATATTATTGATTGATCCGTCTGTCCCTAAAAAGTACCACTTCTTTAAGGTTAATGCCATCTGATGTAATACTCTTCATTTGTTCTTCTGTGCTCTATCCTTCCCTCATGGCCCATGGCATTCCTCTCCATTACGAGTCCTGAACATCCCCAGGTAGTATCAGCATCTGTCTGGACAGCCTCTTGGGCATCCTAGCCTCACAGTCCCCTAAACTCATAATCATTTTCATTTCACCCCACCTACATGCTGCACTCTTCTAACCCATGAAGATTTCCAACCCTAAATTTAGTCATATCCATCCAGATAGTCAACTGATTCCTCAGCTATCATCTTTTCTTACCTCTTCCTTCTTTGAAACTCATAGTTAATTATCTTAACTCCTGTTCAGCAAAGTCTTAAATTAGGGTATAATTTGCCTTTTCTACTCCTGCACCTGGACAGTTGGGTGCTACTGGAGAGGATCACACAACCAGAAGGTTTGGAACCACCAAAAATTCAAGGTCTCCAAACTCAGAAGACATTCAGCGTCACCTGTCCTTTCATTTCTCTTTAGTCTGTTTCTCACTACAGTTTCTCAACATCTTTCAAAACTTTGGTACAGACTTTGGGCCACCTATTCAATCTTCGCCCTCCTCCATTCCCAATAACAAACAGTTCCATTTAATGACAAAAGTGAGGTTGTTTTTCCTCTCACTTAATCTCTGCTCACTTATCTCCATGAACTTCCATGAGTTCTTCTTCCTGTCAGAATATAAAATGTCTCTCCTTCTATTCCAGAAGACCACCCTCTCACCCTTTAACTTCATCCTTCTCATGTCTCTGTTTTATCATTCTGTCTGCTTGCATCTATTCAGAAGCTCTTCCTTCACTAGAATAGCTCTTTGTTCTCATCCTGTAAGCGTGACCCTTCATTAGGACAAAAGCAAAATTCTTTAAGTTCTGTTTTCTCTTGTTGCTATCGTCCGCTTATTTTTTAAAGTTTGTGTAAGAGTATTCTAGAAGTATTATTTTTACTTTTCCATGTCCCCTTTGTTCTTTCATTCATTCATTGCTGTCTGGTTGAACACCTTTTCGTGTGTTTGCTGGCCATTTGTACACCTTCTTGGAAAAAATATGTCTACAAATACGTGACCCAATTTTTTATTAAAGAACTAGAAGAAAATTTTACGTATTCTAGATGCAAATTCTTTATTAGGTATATGAGATGCAATTTCTTCTACCATTCTAAGGAAAATGTCTTCATTTTCTTGGTGCTTTTAGAGCACATGGTTTTCATTTTGGTAACCCAAATTATCATTTTTATCTTTCTTTTGTTGCTTGTGCCTAAACTTTCATATCTAAGAAGATTTTCCCTAAACCTTATCATGAAAACTTACTTTTTCCCCCCTAAAAATTTTACCATTTTAGCTTTTATATTTAGGTCTATAATCCATTTTCAATTTCTTTTCTATATTGTAGAAGAAAGAAATTCAACTTCACTACTTTTGTTAATTGACATTTTCTATCACCATTTATTAATTAATGCTCAAGCCACAATAAGCTGCTTAATTGTGTTGAATAATAAAAAAATTTAAAAAATTGTGTTGAATAAATGTAAAACATAATAAGTAAATGATTGCATGTGATGCCAAATGAATACTGTATTAGGTGATGTAAGTCACTATTGTTTTGAAGAGTTTAAGTTCTTTTTCTTCTAAATAACTCTGAGAAGAGTGGGAATCCCAGAACAGCTGATTGTGCTTATGCAAAATCTACACTTGGACCAGGAGGCAGTTGTCAGAACAGAGCAAGGAAACACTGCATTATTCAAAATCAGAAAAGGTGTAGGGATGCACATCCTATCTCTATACTTTCTCAATCTGTAAACAGAACAAATCATTTAGGAGTCTGGGCTCTATGAGGAGGAATGTGGCATCTGGATTGGAGGAAGACTCATCAGCAATCTGCATTGTGAAAATGACACAACCCTACTTACTGAGACTGAGGAGGACCTGAAGCACTTGTTGCAGAGGGTCAAGGACTGCAGCCTTCAATATGGATTGAGGCTCAATATCAAGAATTCAAAGATTCTCACGACTGGGCCACACGTGTTATACAGATGACACCACCTTGCTTGCTGAGACTGAAGAGAACCTGGGGCACTTGCTACAGGAGAGGGTCAAGGAGTGCAGCCTTAAAATATGGATTGAAGCTCAACATCAAGAAAACAAAGATTCTCACCACTGGGCCAGTTGGCAGTATCATGATAGATGGTGAAGAGAATGAAATTGTCAACAGCTTCAGGTTGCTTGACTCCACAATCAACACTCTTGGTACCAGCAGCCAGGAAATCAGAAAACAAATTAATTGCATTGGGAAAATCTGCTGTTAGGGGCCCCTCCAGAGTACTGAAGAACAATGATGTCAGTCTGGAGACTAAGGCATGCATGATGCAGGTCACGGTCTTCACAATTATTTACTACGCATCAGAAAGGGGGACAATGACTAGGGATGATAGGAGAATTGGAGCTTTGGGGCTATGGTGCTGGAAAAGAGTATTGAATATACCATGGTCTGCTAGAAGAACAAGCTAGTTCATCCTGGAGAAGGTGAAAAATGGCTATTCCTTGGAAGCAAGGATTTGAAGTTCGGTCTGGCATACATTGGGCATGTTGCAAGGAGATACCAGTCCTTGGAGAGGGCCATCATGCTTGGGAAGATGGAGGGGCAGCACAAGAGAGGAATACCCTGGATAAGATAGATTGACTCAGTGACTGGAGTAATGGGCGGGAGGGGGATGAGTGTGTCAGAAATAATGAGATTGGCTCCTGAGAGCAGGGTTCAGAGCTGTTGTACATAGTATTGCCATTAGTCACTAGAGACTTGACGGCACATAACAACACCACACAACAAGAAGTCACTGTTTTTGAAGATTGTAGGTTCTTTCTGTTCTAAATATCAACATATGCAAAAATTAAATCTATTCATCTCATTGTTGTTACTTGAACTGCTGAAAACCAAGTGATACATCCTCTTCAAAAGCAGAGGGCAGACAGGATATGGGTAGGGTAGCTTTACATGAAAATAGTAACACATTATCTCCTTAGTGGAAGGAAAAGGGGTTCCTTCAGATATCTTGTGTAACAAACATATAAATAGGATATATCACTGGATGGGTGTGGGGAGTTGCAGCATCATACACTCTCTTCATTTTCCAGAATTTTAGAAATTCCTTACAGAGAACAAGTTTTATATTAAAAACAAACAAACAAACAAACCAAACAAAACCCTGAATTATT